CAAAATCAAGCACGCCAAGACCCCCCTACCAACAATCAGGGCTTGTTGGCTTTGGGTTTTGGTGCGGAGGGGTTTGGTGGCTTGCGGTCTGCCGGTGTTTTTGCTTCGTCCTTGCATGTATTTGTCGGAGTCCTGCCTGTCTCAGGCCTCGCCAACGCTCCTCCTCGCCAGGCCGGCGGAACTAGGGTTTAGGGCTTAGGCCTTTTTGGGCTTGTAGGGCTTGTAGGGCTTATAGGGCTTATAGGGCTTATAGGGCTTATAGGGCTTACAGGGCTTATAGGGCTTAGGGTTTAGAAGCTTGCGGACATGAAGCCCACCCGAGATGCTAACCAAGAAGGAGGGCGTGCAAGGACACTTTGTCCTCAGGACAAGGACTCGTAACGTAATCCCCTCCCCCTAATATTAAACCCGGTAATATGTAAAACCCCAATATACTATAATATAACTACAATGGGGGGTATTTATTAGGGGTGTGGGGGGGGGGGGGGGGCTTAATACCCGGGGGGGGAGATTATTTGTGATATTCCCAACCAGCGCAAGCGCTCCGTGCTCTCCGTGCTCGAGGAGCCAAAACTTGTGGCTTTCGTGGCTGTTGCGATGAGTATTTGCAGTATCGATTGCTTTTTCGGCAGGCGTGTCGCCCAATCGGCTTGTGCCACAGCTGCCCCAAGTGCAGCGTGATCAACCAAGCTTCTTGTATCTCAGCTGCTCCTGTGAATGTGCCTAGTCATAGCACTAAGGGGAATGTCAAGTTTGATGTCCTTGGGCAAAGGCTTGTTCGACCCACGCAGTTTGTGCAAAAGCAGTTGGTTCTTCCGTTGAGAGGTTTGTGACTCTACCGCAGTTTCGCGCCTCTGGTGCTTCACAAATCCTGAATCGGCGGCGCTCTCTTTACACGTGTCTTCCCTTGAGCATGCAGAAGCCGGGTGCGCAGGACCGGGCCTCGAGCAGCTTGAGCATGGACACATGACCATGTGGTTCTGACTCGGGGTAACCTCTTGAACTGCACCATGAGGGGAGTGGGAGGGAGGGGAGGGGCACCTACGAAAACGGGGGGCGACCACGGTGAACCTGGGGACTGAGATGCCCTGAGAACACTTTGCCTCTCAGAAGCATTCCTCCACATCAGTTACAGCAAACCCTATATCCAAGGACCCGGAGACGTTTCAACTCAGAGAAGAAGAGCAGCCAGACCCTTGAGTAACGTGCGCCCAGGAGCCGCCAGGTTTCGGGTTTAGGGGTTTAGGGTTTAGGGTTCATGTGAACTGTTGCTGTCGTGGTGCGATGGTGCAGTCGCATTCCCGTCTCAGGCAGTTGCATAGCACGAGTTCAAAAACGGGCCTAGGGTTTAGGGGTTTAGGGTTTCGGATCTACCCAGCCCAGATGGAAAAAAGGGTTTCGGGTCTCATCGGAGTCTCCTCGTCAGGGTCTCCGGTATCATCGGAGATTCCTGATAGAAGGTTTTTTCGGGTCATGCGTCCTGCCCCTACTACCCGACCTTCCCGAAAACCAGGTGGTGGAAGGCTTCTGATGTCTTTGCAAGAATTTTCATTGTCGGGCTGTCAATACCATTGTTGCTACAGGGGGTGCCGGGGTACAGAAGAACATGGAAGAACTTCCTTTGGAAGGATGTACGCTTTTCCATCGGCAGTATGACAATGTATACTCAAAGAATGGAATCCAGCTCATTGACGGCCTTCCCTGCGCAGGAGAGAGAAGAATCGGGGGGCTCGTGTGGCTGCTTGGCAGCAGATTCGGGCTTCGGGCTTCGGGCTTCGTGGGATCTTTGCCTAAACCTAGAACAGATCTGACGAGGCTTTGGGGGTGTTCAGGTTGCAGCCGTGCAGCTGTGGCAGTTACCGCCATCATTGCCATCCGCGTCACAAGCATGAGGATCACAAGGCAATGAAGGTACAAAGACACTGGTTCTTTTTTGCCCTGGACCAGGAGAAGGAGGCTTGCATCTTCTAGCTTCATCCATGCTCCCGGAAATGCCCCGTTTGCCGCCTGAAAATTGTCGGAACCACGCCAAGGTCAGCCAAGCTGTCGCACTCCCGGACTTGACATCCAACTCGGTGCTTACTGCCCACATCCAGGGACTGCGCGTGAGGTGAGGGCCACGCAGCAGATGCCCAAACAAGAGGCTGAGCGTGCCCTTCACAGGTCTTCGCAAGTTGTCAGGGACGCAGCGCTTGCTTTGGGAGGTCTGGCAAGCCCCGGTTGTCGTAGGTATCAGTTGACCACAACGGCCCTCTTGCAACGCTCCCGGTATCCTGCTAGGGGGTTGTATGTCAGGGCTGGTTAAGACGTGACACACCTACGCACAGTGACGCACACATGTCCACGCTCATCAACACACACCGTTCTAAGCTGGGGTGTCGACGGCATTGTCACAATGCTGCCTCGAGGGTAGAATCCCAAAGCCACAACGTTTGCGGAAGTTTCTGCCAGACGTCCCCGTCGCTGGCTCGCCGTGCCTTGCTGGTGCTGAGGTCTCCACATGGAGGTTGTATCCATGCCTAATCTGGATCATGGGTTCAGGGGGTTACGCGGTTAGGGCTTCATGGTTCTACGTTCTGCTCTCCGAGCCCTTGGGTCAAGTCCTTAAGTGTTCAAGCCGCTTCGTGCCTGAACCTCTTTCGGGTAGTCGGGGAAGGAGTACGGTGGCTCCTCTGCCCGTAACCTTTCGGAGTTGAACCTCAGCACTGGACAATGTGTGATCATAGATTAGATCTCACGCCTGAGCTGCTTGCAAAAAACAATGTTCGACGTGGCGAGGGTGGATTGGTTGCATGTGCCAGCGCAAGCAAGCACAGAGTTGAGAATCTCAGGTTGACGTTCCTCGTGAACAAGAACATGCAAAACAAAAAGAAGCGACATGAGTCCCGCAGTCTAGGGCGTGCTCTGAAGTTCGCTGTGCACGCATGAGCTTCCAACAATCCATCTCCAGCAGATACGCTTCTTGCCACGTGTAATTCAGCGGAGTAGTCCGCTTGGTTCCCTGTGGTCTGCATGGGGATATGCACGTCCACTGGAGAAGGTGACGCGGCTTCATGATGCCTAGACCCTATATGAGCCCTATAAATCACCGAATTTAGGGTTCCAACTTCGCGAAGCGCAGAGCCAAGCTCCTGATGTAGTTTCCAGAGTTTGTTTCGCATAGAATTCCGCGCATGCGGTTAAGGCTTCGGGTTTAGGTCACGCCCCTCAGAGAGCGGATTCAACATGTTACGCTTCCTTGCACGGGGATCATGGGCCCGCACGCTATAGTCGAAAACTTCACCAGGAAGGACCCCAGTACCGAGGTCAGGGACACTGCCACTCTTCCTGATTGTGATTGTTATGGCTCACTAGTTTCTGTAGGTTCACGTTTGGGGTTGCTTTGGGGAGTCGATTGCTTTTGTGGTCTCGGCATAGGTGCCGTGCCTGTGTCGAGCGAGGGTTCCGGCTTTACGGAACCCTTCCCGGTTCCCACCGCATGGCAGAGCTGTCGCGCTCGTAGCTTCGCGTGTCGATCGATGTCGATCGAGAGATGGACGAGGAACCAGCAGCAGGTCCTAATTTGCAAGCGCACCAGCCCGTATGCCTCAGCCCCAGTTCCTCTTAATCGGAGACATATGCGAGTTCTGGTTGTCGTGTCTTTGTTTCATTGCGGGTTGAACTGCTGCAGAAGGCCATGCAGTGCTCTTGTTGTCCTTGCATCCTGGCTTCCAGGCTATAGTTGCTATAGTTTCGGCAGTCAACTAATTGCAAGGCACTCCCAAGGCCATGACGTATAAGGTTCCTTTCTGATTTATACTGAGCGCTGGTGATCAGACGGGGCTGGGTGGTACATGGGCTGGCTTCCGCTGCCAGCCTAGCTTCAGAGATTTACAATAGACCAAGCTTGAGCACCGCACCTCATGTCTACCATGTTCAGGGAAGCTGTACAGCTGTGTTGAGCGTGGGCAAAAAGAAGCGAAGAGGCTCCCCGTTCCCTAGCCTTAATATAAGGCTGTGAAAAAATGTAGTAATACGACAATATGACAATAGAATCATGTACTAAAATAATTTTGTAATAATGTAATGATGTTATACTATAATCGTGTAATCTTTCAAGTTCATCCCTACCGAGTCACGCCCACAGACAGAGCATGCGCACAAGGTTTGTGGCGCAGCCCAGCGCGAGCAGTGCGAGCAGCGCAAGCAGCGCAGCAGACACTCAGGGGGAGGCTGCGGCTAAGTGGTGGGCAGGCTAGGGGTTTCCCCCGGCATCGAGTAGTGTACAGCTGGGGATATTCAGAACTGATTCAGTTTGTGTGTGCTGGAGCTTTTTCAACCCTAAACCCTAATTGCCAGCCCAGAGCCCCTCCCCCCCCCTTCCCTTCAACGCGCCGCCCTGTCGAAAGAACAACTTGATCAGTGGCAGCAGGTCAGACCGTTCTTGACCATATAGGTTCTGAATTTCGTCAGAAGGCACCAAAATCGTCACATTTAAGGGGCTCAGGGTTTAGGGTTTGGGGTTTAGTGCTTTCGGGGTCAAACCGGGCCCCTAAACCCTAAACCCTAAACCCTAAACCCTGAACCCTAAACCCTAAACCCTAAACCCAAAGGAGTTTTGGGCTTCGGGTTTCCAGCCAAGCTGCGGCCGCAGGCGCCCAGTGCCGTCAGCCCAGGCTCCGCGCCTCACTCTCTTGGCTTTCTTTTAGCTGTCTCTTAGGACTCTTTAACCTTTTGGGTTTTTGTAGAAACTACAAGAAGGAGCCGACAAGTTAAACTTTTAGGAGGGTTTCAGAAGTCAGCCAAGCTCTGATATCGAAACCACCCCTTGGACCCTGTAAAGCCTTTGCCCCCCCCAGAATGAAACAACAAACTAAAGAGAGGGGTATTTGAATATGGGGTGCAGCTCTATTTCTCTACGGGGGGTAAGGTAGTAAGTTAGTAGGGCCCTGCGGCGGGAGATTCCCGGGATCACTGGCATCCCTGTTCCTCTAGTTTAACGCGTTGGTGCCCTTGGAGGACCCATGAAGACGCAACGATAAGGATTCCTTTTATCGTTCAGGTTCCTGGGCAACCTAGTGAAAAGATTTCAGGTTTTGGGACCGATCTTTTCTGGTTGTGAGTTCAGGCGTTGAGGTGGTGATCCGGTTTCGCAGTTTAGGGAATGCGGGCGTTGGCGTTGGGTTGTTGGAGGGTTACCATAGTTTGTACGTGCAGGAGCTCGACGTGTCCAGAAGGATTGTAAGAACACGACGCAACAGCTAATGTTCTCGGATATGGTTAGTGGACTGTTTGTCTGGTGTCAGCTGTCTGCAACTTGTCGTCCGCTTTCGGACCTGTATGCTTGACCTAGCATTCCAAGCTAGATTGAAGGGACCTTGCTTGCAGGAAAGTGTGGCTTGCCAATAGAACCCGCACCACTCGCGGACGAGGAGGCTGCCGCCATCGAACCTGAGATGTCAGTCCCTGCCATTCCGTGAATATCTGTACCTTGTTGTTTCTCAGCACGCCGTTGATGCTCTTTGCCTTTATTGGCGCGAGCCGTGTGTGCTGTACGCTGTAGCTCCTTCTCGATATTTTGCATCGGCGCAGCCATGGGAATCGAAGAGCCGATGTCCGCAGGACTGGCTCAGACAGGGCTGGCGAGACTGGGGTTTAGGGTTTAGGGTTTAGGGGTTAGGGGTTTAGGGTTTAGGGTTTAGGGCAATGAGTCAATGAGCATTGAAGTGTATGCTAGGGTGTCTGGGTTTGGGGTGCATTGCTTCGCTACGCCGTGCTTCGGTCCTGGGAATGAGCGTCCGTGCTCGTGACAGGACTTTAAGGTGTGCACCCAAGAGAGATTCGGGCAGCTCTCCGAAGAGCATCACCTAAGGGGTACAAGGAGGGATCCCTAGAATGGATCCCTAATCTTCTTCCCCTACATGACCCCTGTACTTGTGTAGTCCCTAAAAAAACAACCCCGACGGTCCCTTAGAGTTTAGGGGTCTCTCCTTCAGTCCCTTGAGTCATCTAAATCCACCCTTCGGCATAACCACAGCCCTGCGAACCCTAAACCCTAAACCCTAAACCCGAAACTCGTTTCTCCAAGCTCCTGGCAGGAGGGTACTCGGCGGCCGAAGTCACTGCAGCCGCAACCAAAGCTGCCGCAGCAGAGGCCATTTGGGTTTAGGGTTTGGGGTTTTGGGGATCTGTCTCAGGCAGAAGGTCCCGGTATGTCCGGTCGGTGGGCCTCATGGCATGTAAGGAATGTAAGGTTCACATATACGGACGCTAACCTTACATCAGCGCCAAGACTGCCTAAATTCCTCCCCTCTCCCACTCTCCCCCCACCATGTAACATCACGTAACAGATATGTGACCCAAAGTAACTTCCGCGACAAGACAAGAGAACCACTAACCACACCCACTCCGACCGCATCCGCAATGAGTGAGTTCACGCGCCCCAAGGTACGAACATTGCAACTTGACCTTCAGCCCCACTCCTGTGGCAACAACCGAATTTATTATTCGTATCAATAGCAAGAATAGTAGCAACAAAGAACCAACCCTGTTTGTCATAGCAACAGTTCATAAAATTATGGTTTAATGCCGTAACAATCCAAGAGCCACTAACAATAGGAAGAATAGTGCTGACCATGGTTTTATTCATCATAGAAATATGGGAATGTCCGAAAATCAGGGCTCCTTTGGGCCAAAAAACTAGGTGCACCGTATGTTGGTGTATCGAAGAGGGTCCCATACTCTGGGAAATGCTCATATCCTTAAAGCCTCAACCCTGAACCATAGCTATCCCTACAAGGTGTGGTGTGAGGGTGGTAAGTAATTAGGCAGGTGGCAAAAACAAGAAAGTAACTAGGACCCCGAGTAGGCCCGTCTTCCCTTGTTTTCGGGTTTGGGTTCCCTCCGAACTTTAAGCCAAAGCGGGTACTTTTTCCTAGGTTACTCTTGGGTGACCCTAAACCCTGAACCCTAAACCCTAAACCCTAATCCCTAATCCCTAAACCCTAAACCCCAAAACCCTAAACCCTAAACCCTTTCGGTTACTCTTGGGTCTCGGTAACATCCCCAGAGCCCTCGATGACGAAGGTGGAGATCGAGCGGCTGGTCGGCGCGTCGGGCCTGGGCGCCTTGCAGAGCAGAACGATGGCCGCTAAACCCTAAACCCTAAACCCGAGGTTTTTGAGTACACTGTTTCCGGGGATTTCTCTAGTGCTTGTGGGGATTTCAGGGCCGGTCAATCTTCGAGTTTAGCTAATGTTCTTGGTTTTGGGCTTTTGGAGATCCTGCTGGAGGCCTGCCCTCCAGCATCCCACGACCCTGCTATGAAGCCCAAGAGAAATGCACCCTTCGTAGCCTTGCTTTAGCAGCTGCTCGCTGCCTTGCTGAGACTATCTCAGGGTTTAGGGTTTAGGGTTTAGGGTTAGTCACCTTGGCCCATCCCCTTCGGATTTGAGCCAGTCTTCTGGCTTTGGGTTTCCTTCAGGAGCTCGTACTGCCATCGATGGCCAAGTGCCCATCATCGACCTCTCGAAAGACGGCGCAGCCACTTGGAACGCTTGATGTTGCCGGCAATGTTGCGCAAAACGCCCACACCATCTGAGGCCGAGGCAGTCTGGGAAGCTGCCCAAAGCCCTGGCTTCTTCACTGTAACGACCCTTGCTGTGAACGGCTTTGGTCCGATTCGAGTTGGGGAGTTGGGGTTCGTACCCCTTGAGGACACTGAGGTGTGTTCATTCACAGGTGATGATCGAAGGAGTTCAGCTATGTAAGTGGTGAAGGTGCCTGCTTCGGTAGTTGAGGAGTTCAGGACTTTGTTTGTCAGGGCCAGCATCGCTTTTACGAGACGCTTAGGGTAGACCCGGGCTTGGTAATAGCGCGACCCTCAGGACAACCATAATGCAGAAGATTCATATATATATATATATATACATATCGCAGGCTCCAAGACCCTAAATCCTGGTTCACTTCCTAGGGAACCTAAAAACGATCTCCCAAGCGCGGCTTGAGGGCCTTGAGAAGATCCCCCTCGCAAAGGCTTAAGGGATGTGCTTCGGCCCTGCCAAGGAATCATGGAATCCCTCTGGAACTCATCGAGCACACTTTTGCGAGGTCCGTGTGAGTTGCAGGGATGCACGAAGGGTTTAGACGACTTGATCCCCATCGTAACAACAGGGACAACCATAATGGATCACCATTTGTGTATGAGGGCCCAGCTTGACTTGCAAGCCACTTCTTTCTAGGGCTCTAGGGGACTTACTGCTCCACGTTGGTAGGCGGGGCGTGAAGGTGGACCGTTTGTTTTGCAGCACCCATACTTGAACCTTTCACCTGTGCTCTTCGGCCCTCAAAAAATTGGGAGGGAAGTTACGGTTTCCTTTATGTTAGATGCTGTAAACTGTGCCCTGGACCCTTACTGAACACCGAACCCTTAACCCGAAGCGCAAAACCCAAGCCTCTAACCTACATGATCCTTTCAAGGGCAGCGGGCTAGAAGGTACACATTTCCCGAGGCCCTCTAAACATGCCAGACTAGTCAGATAGACAAGCTCCAGGATCCGAAAAATATGAGTAACAATAAGTGTGTCATACTTCGTCGATTAGTAGTAAAGTGAGACAATAGCAGTATAATAGGTACCATAGTAGAAATTAGGGTTTAGGGTTTAGGGTTTAGGGTTTAGGGTAAAGTCCAGACACTGTCAGAACTGCGCCCCCATTCCGCCAGGTCGGCAAAGTTCTTTTCTCAGGACCAGGAGCACGCGGCGTCGAGCTTTGGGGCTGTTGAGGGTTTAGGGTTTGGGGTTTAGGGTTTAGGGTTTAGGGCTTAGGGTGTACCTAGCTTCACTTGTAGATGGTTGAGGGCGTCCGGTGGGCCCGCCACCTGGCTGTAGGGAGGGAGGGATGGCTTCGCAAACTCCACCAGATGCTGAAGGTGCGTGCCCACGGTAATTCTGCAGCAGGCTACCAGTGTCCAAGTTGAAATTCTCGGGATGCAGGTTTGGGCGTTTGGTATCGTTTAGTCTTCTCGTCATGTCTACTTTCAATGATGCATCCGAAGAGCCCGATATTCGGCAGATTGATAATGATAGATCCAATTGTCGAACCCCCTTCAACAGTTTGGCTGGCGGAAGGAGCAAAAGAAAGCACAGAGCCCTTTCGCGAAAGACTTGAATGCTGGCTACGAGCACTCCCCCACAGGGGAGGAAGTTTTTCAAGGGCCGATGATTCTATGCTTTTCTGAGATGTCCTGTTATCGAACAAAAGCTCCGGACATGAAAGGTATGATGTCCATAAGTCCCTTGCTGCGGTCCAAGGGTGGAAATGTGCTTCAATTCCTGTGCTTTTTTGTCTCCTTGGACATGAGACCTTGCGATGTGACTGCGCTCAGCAGGTACTTTTCACAAGTTCGCCCCTCGACCGGCACGGCAGATCAGAGCCTCGGGCCGTCGTTTTGCAATTTTCGGCGAGCGCCCTGCTTTGATGGAATGGTCTTCCATCATAGGAACTAGCGTCAAGCGAGAGGCTTGACTTTCAACCCGACGTGCTGGTTATGGGGTTTAGAGCTTCAGAGGGGAAATGAAAGGTCTAGGGTGGCGGGTTTAGCTTCACAAGATGTTGAGCGGGTTGGGCAGAGCGCACTAGCTTGGGGTTGGGGTGTAGCTTAGTTTGGCTGAGGCCAAACAAATCAGAAGCACACGGCTCCCTCTTGCTCTGCCTTGTTACGACCACCTGTTACTACTTGCTTAAGAACCCCCCCCATAGAATAAACAGTATTCTTCCTTATAAGGGTAATATAGGGGCTGTTGTGTTGCATCTGTTGGGGGTTCTTAAGCAAGTAGTACTGACCTACTGACCCGGGGGGCCACCACGTTGTCAAGTTGTGGAGGCCACATGACCAAGCACGAAGACGCTGGCATCCAGAAGAGAATGTTCAGTGAGTATGCAGTTCAGGGGATGCCCCCGGGGGGGGGGATGGGGAGGGGAAGGCAATAAGAGCAGCAGCAGCAGCAGCAGCAGCAGCAAGAAGAAGAAGAAGAAGAAGAAGAAGAAGAAGAAGAAGAAAGAGGAAGAAGATGCTGGCGATGATGAGCAGCAGTGGTGTTGGGGGGTGGTGGCGTCACTTAGAAAACCACACCCTGAACTCCCGGGTGTGGGTGTCGAAATTGGGATTCTCGACTCGAGCCTGGAATTCATAGCGCATCTTTGGGTTCCAGGTATAGGGACCAGGGTTTAGGGTTTAGGGTTGCAACTCCATGCCCGAACCCCAGACTCCGCGAAGGAAGGAGAGCTTGCAGATTACTGCCCGGACCGGGTCGATGGACGGACGCTGGCCAAAGGACTGCCCCCCGAAGCCACGAAAGGGTTTTCAAGGCGGCCAAACTCGCACGTCCGCATTTGTTTAGCAGCCCGAGGCCTTTCGAAAGCCCTGAACTACCAA